AAATCCATATGTAGCAAAATAAAATTAAACTTTACTAGTATTTTTTCCATGTTTTTTAATTGATGCTATAAAAATTACTATTCTTTTTATAGTTGTACCTAATGGTGGGATTTGCTGTTACATATTTGTACATGCACACAATTTAACAATATAATTTGGCAGATATCTTTTCCCAGTATTTTCCCTATCCTTCTCAAATATCTTTTTTTATATATATAGTAGAAGGAAAATAGCTGAACATTCACAAGAAAAATGGCATCTTGCCATTTGAGAATTCCTTGTGTCCTCAAAGCAACAGATGATGATGGAGACAGGGGACAACTGGAAAAAGAATGAGTCCCCCCAGGGCCAGTCACTTCACCCACTTAGAGCCCAGAGCTGGATGTATGGATAAAATAGAAAGAAGGACTTTGCTGAGTTTTGTTCTATGACAAAATCTGCAATTTCTCACACTTTCTTGTTTCTTGTTGCTCTGAAGATTTGAAGAACATAGGCTGTGGCCCTATTTGGTTTATTTCTGACATCGAATTCTGAAAAATGGCAAATCATCAACTGCAGGGCTTTGCCAAACTGCTACTATTTTTGTGTGAGCTGATAGCTTTAGATTTTTTTTAAAGGTTATAAAAACAAAGAACATGCCCAAAAAAAATCTTGTCTGTGGCTCCTGAAGCCTAAAGGGTCTTATCTGGCCCTTTGCAGAAAAGTTTTGCCAATCTCTGATTTAATGCTAAAAATGAAGTTTCTTTACCTTCTAAATAGGGCAAAATAACAAAGTCAGGGAATCTATGACTCATAAATTTTTTCAGGAAACCTATTTTAGGATTAAGACTTTAGTATTTTTCTCAACAGCAAAAGAATTCCTCTGAAATCCTAAATGAAAATATCTATTGTGTTTACTATTACCCCAGTTACTTCTCATTTGGTGATTTGGGGGTGGAGTTAGAGAAGGGAAAAGGATGTATGGAAATCAGTGATAAAAGACCTAAACAAATCAGACACATTATGATTCTGCAACAAGGGCCTCCATTTGCTGATGCTTGGCTGACCACAAGTTAACTAGCCGTGGCATAAAAGTGAAACTAGATCCAAACTCTGCCAAAGTTCCAGGTTCTGAGACTGTATATTCAATGATGTCACAGAGAAGCTGCCCTTATATTCCAACAAAGATCCTACAAATAATCTAGCTATATTGATCCACCTGAGACCACAGGAGAGCTCCATCATCCTACAAATAGTCTAGCTATATTAATCCACCTGACCCCCAGGAGAGCTTCGTCAACAATTCTCCGATATAAATCATGGTGCATGTTATTAAAGACGTGGCAAGTATTTACTTGGCTTCATTAAATAGTTCAGAAGTGACCACCTTAAAAACCAAGTTGGTAAACAAGAGTTATTTCCTTCACCTCCCCATTCTTTCTCTGCTGTGGAGCAAGGGGAGGTTTCCCATTCTTCCTCTTTGGGTTGTTCCTCTCCTCTCCCCTGCAGAGACCTCTCCTGAGGGCCCACTGTCTTGCTCCCATCTAGAGAGGCAGCCAAGGGACAAACTGATCAAAAAGGATTTTCTTCCTCCTCAATTCCTATTTCTTGCTCTGATTCTATCTAGACCTTGGCCAGCTCCCAATGTATCCTGTTTCATGGATTCTGCTTTAGTAGGACCTGGAAAATTCTATCGAAGTGAGAGGGTTGATGTCTTTTCTTGCATCCTAGGAAAGAGAGCAGAAGCCTCAGACATGCCTCTGGAATGGGATGGAGAATAGTAATGACCAGTAGTATCAAAAATTCCTAGGTAGATTTTTTTGTTGTTGTTTTTAGAACTTTCTGGAGTGTGTGTGTGTGTGTGTGTGTGTGTCTGTGTGTGTGTGTCTGTGTGTCTGTGTCTGTGTGTGTGATTTGTTCAAATTAGTTATACATGTCAGTAGAATGCATTTTGACACATCATACATAAATGGAGTATTCTTCTGGTTGTACGTTATAGAATTATACCAGTTGTGTAATCATATATGCACATAGGGTAACAATATCTGATCCATTCTACTATTCTTCCTAATCCCTACCTCTCCCCTTCCTTCACTCCCTTCTGCCTAATCCAAAGTAGCTCTATTATTTTTCCATAGCCTCCCCCCCCAACTTATTATGAATTAGCATCTGCATATCAAAGAAAACATCTGGCCTTTGTTTTGGGGGGATTGGCTTATTTAGCTTAGCATGATATTCTCCAGTTCCATCCATTTACTGGCAAATGCCATAATTTCATCTTCTTTAAGACTAAGTAATATCACATTTTCTGTATCCATTCATCTATTGAAGGGCATCTACGTTGGTTCCATAGTTTGGCTATTGTGAATTGAGCTGCTATAAATATTGATGTAGCTATGTCACTGTAGTATGCTGATTCTAAGTCCTTTGGGTACAAACTGAGGAGTGGGATAGCTGGATCAAATGGTGGTTCCATTGCAAGTTTTCTGAGGAATCTCCATACTGCTTTCCATATTGGCTACACCAATTTGCAGCCCCACCAGCAATATAAGAATATACTTTTTTCCCCACATCCTCACCAACATTTATTGTTGCCTGTATTCTTGATAATTGCCATTCTGACCAGAGTGAGATGGAATCTCAGTATAGTTGTAATTTGCATTTCTCTAATTACTAGAGATGCTGAACAATTTTTCATATAGTTGTTGACAATTGCTTTTTTCTTCTGTGAAGTGTCTATTCAGTTCCTTAGTTCATTTATTTTTTAATTTCTCATATTTTAATATTTTTTTAATTGTAGTTGAATACAATACCTTTATTTTATTTGTCTATTTTGTGCTGAGGATCAAACTAGGTGAGCACTCTACCCCTGAGCCACAATGCCAGCCCCTCCTTAACCCATTTATTGATTTGGTTCTCAATGTTACTGTCCCAATAAATCTAAATTCATGTATAAGGCAGAGATCATTATAAAGAAGAAACTTGCCTCTACAAGAGAAGACAGGGGCCTACCTTGTTTAAGGGATGATATGAGCGTTATCTTCAATCCTACTAATGGGGGCATTAGAATCAGGCCATGTTAGAAGAGGATATAGGGTGGGGGTATGGGAAGGTCACGGTTCCTGAGCCACAGCCACCAGACCCTCAGATTTAGACTTTGGACATTTTCCCTAAATGTGACTATGCATAAGGTTGCAGAAATGACAATGACCAGATTAAAAGAAAGCACTGCCATGTAACTTTGTTACAAAAAAAAAACCAATTTGTTTTAAAACACCGCATGTTGGCGAATGCTTTTGAAACTTCATTTTAAAAATTTCCTAGGATTTTCTTTATCCATTCAATTATCCATGAATACCTGGGCTGATTCTTTATCTTAGCTCTTGTGAATAGTGTGACAGTAAATCTGGGTATGCAGGTATCTCTATTATATACTGACTCATTTATTTCAGGTATGCCCAGGAGTAGGATAGGTAGATCATATAGTAATTCTGCTTTTTTTTTTTTTTTTTTGAGGAAACTTCATACTGATTACTGATTTCCATAGTGGCTGTACTAATTTTCATTCCCACCAACACTGAAGAGGAACTTTTTAAGGGAAGAAAAGGGGGGGCTAGGGAAGAGGGTATGAGAGGGCAGAAAGGAAGGGAAACATGATCAAGGCACACTATATGCATGTGTGTAAAGGTTCCAGGGAAACCCATTAATTTGTAAATTGATGTGTTATTATTTATAATAATTAAAACATTCTACAAAGTAAAAAAAAAAAAATTTCCTAGGGATCTCACAGGATAACCTGGGGCCTTGCTCTTCCCTGAGAAGCCCTCTCCTCTCCTCCCCAGAGACCTCTCCTGAGGGCCCACTGTCTCGCTCCCATCTTTATTCAACTGTCCCTTCTCTTTGAGTGGACCTCAAAGTGGTACAAGCCTTTGAGGTGGATACTTGTAGTTCACCCCCTGTTTTTCCTTCTTCTTTCATTTTTCTCTTCTTGGCAATTATCACTATAATTACAAACTACATATTTTAACTATCCATCCTACTGTTGGCTTCTGCTTCTCAAATGTAAGCTCTATGAAGGCAAGAAGTTTTCTTGTCTGTGTTTTAGATCACAGTTGTATCCTTCTCTCCTAGAGGAATTTGGGTATAGGAGGAAGCACATCTTTGAGTTTTCAGTTTTAACCACTTGAAATTAAACCAAATGGGAACATGATTGTCAAGACCCCACTACTATAGAGCAGGCACATGAACAGTATGAACCCTGTCCCCAGTGGGGATAGGCCCTGTTTGACTTAATCCAACTCATGATCCCGTCCCCCATTCATGCCAGGTGGCCTACCAGGGTAGGTCCCTGCTCAGGCAGTGTGAGCTGCCTGGGAAATAAAAAGTCTGAAACAATCAGTAAGAAATAAAGACAGGGGCTGGGGATGTGGCTCAAGCGATAGCGCGCTCGCCTGGCATGCGTGCAGCCCGAGTTCGATCCTCAGCACCACATACAAACAAAGATGTTGTGTCCACCAAGAACTGAAAAATAAATATTAAAAAAAAAAAAGAAATAAAGACAGAGCTAGAAATTAGATAGATAAAGAGGAACGCCTGATAGGCCTTCCAGTCCTGACGGGAGCTGAAACTGAACAATTGAAAAGGGGCCCCAATTCCTTATTTAAGGAGGAGTACATCCAAAGCAGGGATAAGGTTTCAGCGGGAGGAGTCTTGGTGCTTGCTTCTCAGTGTGGCAGGGGCCTTGCAGTAAACAGGTTGATTGGCATTTGTCACACCACACACATCTCCAAGAAGCTGTGTGGCTCCTGTGGGTCACCCCATCTCCGGTGCTGTGCTGAACTTGTGATGGAGCTGGGTAGGACGCCACATGAACTAGGCATCCTCCAACCAGTGGGGTTGGTACTGGCAGTTCCCGACACCGGGCTTTCCTGCCTAATGGCTTCAACACCGCTTTAGTTCAGATGGGTAATGGATGGCTTCCGGCACCCCATCTTAATGATTGGTGCAGGGATGAGCACAGGATGCAGTTAAGACCAGCGGAAGAGAGAGTGAGCCCTGCTATTATGAAGAACTCAGGAGATGATTTTGTATCCTTGGCAGAGGGAATGGGCTCTGGAGGCAAACCACCTAGATTAACAACCCCAGCTACATCACTCACCAGCTGGCTGACCAGGAGAAAGTTAATGAACTTCTGCTTTCTCATCTGTGAAATAAAGATGATAATAGTACATATTCCAGAGAGTGTTTTTACAGATTATAGGACAAAACATCAAGCACGGAGTAAATAAGCTACTATTGTTGCAATTCCAATGGGTAAAGGAAAAATAAATCTTGAACAGAGCCCTCTAGAGCAGCAAATCACTCACTCACCAGTAGAGACTCCAGGAATAGATACCAGGTTCCCATTAAAGACCATGAGAGAAGCTAGGTGAATCAGGGTTGAGTCCTATATTGACTTGGAGAAATGAATCATGATCACTCCCCAAAAACAAAACAAGAAATTACTGAAGGTGTTACATTAATTCTTCCTTTAATTTCACCAATAAGTAAATCTTTAGGGCTTTGTTTAAAAAAATCAAATATAGATTTCCATTTTGAATGACAGCTCACCTCCAACCTAGCCACTCTCATTTCTTTCTGGCCAACCTCATTTTCTTTCCAGAGGTAATTCACCAACAACAGCTTCCACTACCAACTCATTTTGTGAATAAACTCCTAAATGTTTTGTGGAATTTTCATCATTTATATGTACTTACAAAGAGAAATATGTCAGACCTCTGACACATTTATAAAAGGTTGTATTGGCTTGAGAACAGTAAGGTAGGGCACTTGGTTAAGGTTTTGTTTTGTTTTGTTTTAACTCTTTTTAGTTATGATACAACACCAGGCAGGATCCATCTTCACATAATCACAAAAGCATGGAATTCAACCTGCTCTGATTCAGTCCCCAACACTTTCCACCTGTTCCCTCTACCCTCCCTCCACTCCACCAATCCTTCTTGAATCCATTTACAGTTTATTTTTTTTTAAATTAGTGTCCTGTGGGCACACCTGATACTGAACCCACCTTGCCTTATCCATGCACATACAAAACTTCAGTCAGATCATTCCACCACTCTTCCCCTTTTCCATCCCTTCTTCTTCCTCTTCAATATCTTTCATCTACTCTACTGATATTTCCTCTATTTTGATGAAATTCCCCTCACCTCTTTTTTTTTTCTTTCTCTCTTTCTTTCTTGTTTCCCCCATTTTGTTTTAGCTTCCACATATCAGAGAAAACATTCAACGTTTGACTTTTGGGAACTGGCTTATTTCACTTAGCATGATAGTCTCAGTTCCATCCATTCACCTGCAAATCCCATAATGTCATTCTTCTTCATGGCTGAGTAGCACTCCATTGTGTATTTTCTTTATCCATTCATCTGTTGAAGGGCCCTTAGTTTGGCTCCATAGCTTAACTTAGCTATTGTGAATCATGCTGCTGTATACATTGATATGGCTGCATCATTATAGTATGCTGATTTTAAATCCTTTGGTTATATACCGAGGAGTGGGATAACTGGGTCATACGGTGGTTCTATTCCTAGTTTTTTTGAGGAATCTCCATACTGTTTTCCACAGTGGTTGCACTAATTTGCAATCCCACCAACCCTGTGATTTTATTCTCTGTAAGGCTCTATGAGATTCTGTGATTGAGCACATTTCCTTATTTGTGTTCTGGTTTCAGGATGAATTCAATACATTTTTGAAAGATGCTGGACGTCAACTTGTGGTAGTTGAATTTTCAGCAAACTGGTGTGGTTTCTGCAAAGAGATATGTTCTGTTTTTCATGTAAGTATCAATAGTATTGAGTTCATGGCTATAAAAGGAATTTAAGCCCCCAAAATAATTTTCCCAGAAATTCTTTAAGGTATTGGCACTTATGACACACTTTGGGGCCATATAGCATTTTGGAGCATCCTGAGGAAATGGTAGAAAATTCACTGGGATCTAATTCGAGGACACCAGAAGATTAATACTACTCATCTATAGATAATTCAGCAAGGAATGTCAAGATGTGCAAAAGAGTCCAACTATAAAAATGAAAAAAAAAACTAATCACATTACAATAATGACATTTTGCCAAAGTTCCAGAGTTCAGAACTTTAAAATATTGAAATAGATAAGATACATATGATACTTATTTTTAGCTATAATATAAAAGAATAAACATTCCCTAAATCTTCAATTCTATTATAAGGGGGGGAAAAAAGATCATAGATCTCTTTTTAAAAGACATTCTCTATTTCATTTTTTCTGTAACTTTATTGAGTTATAGACCAAAAAAAGTGAACATATTTAATATACACGACTGGTGAATTTGGACGTAAGCAAACTCCTGTGATCACCATTTCCACAATTAGAGTAATAAGCATGATCTATCACTTGTAAAAATGTCCTTGTGTCTCTATGCTTTTTCTCACCCTTCCCTGAAAGAGGTAGTAAGAATGCTTAACCTGAAATCTACCCTTTTAACAAACTGCTAAGTGTGCATCATATTGCTGACAATAAATGCTACACTGTACAGCAGATCTCTAGAATTCATTTATCTTCTAAAACTCAAATTTTCTACCAATTGAACAACTCCCTCTATACGCCTCCTCCCCCACCACTCCCTAGTAACCACTGTTCAATTATCAGGTTTTATAAGTGAATATTTAGATACTTCATAGAAGTGAAATTGTGTAATATTTGTCCTTCTGCCACTGGCTTATTTCACTTGGCATAATATCTTCCAGGTCCATTCACGCTGTTGCAAATGGTAGGCAAACCATGTCTTACACATCCTTTCTTTTTCCCTGCTGTGCTCGGTAAAATATTCTAGTAAAATAATCTACTTGGTTGTAATGGTATGTTTATATCCAAACTGTTTTTCTACATATGCACTAGTTCATATTTTTTAGTGTCTCCAAATTAAAATTTTAATATTTAATATACTGTTTCATCTAACTTCTCTATTGTCCCACTTAAAAGCTCATTATACTATTCGGTTTTGGTAAAACAGAAAGAATCTCAGGGCATTTTCTTTTCATTTCTTCTTATTTTGCAAAAGTTTCACATTTACTTTTGCTCTCTTTCATGAAATTTATTCTTTCCTTCAAATATAAAAATGTCTTGAGCTGGGCACAATGCACACTTCTGTAATCCCAGAGACTCCAGAGATGGAGGCAGGAGGATTTCAAACTCAAGGTCAGCCTGGGAAAATTGAGACCCTGTTTCAAAATAAAAAAGGTAGGAGATGTAGCTCAGTGGTAGCACCAAGGTTCAATCCCAAGTATAGAAAAACAACAACAAAGTTTTGATTCCTCTATGAAACTGAAACTAAAAATATTCTGTTCTATTCTCAATAAGGGTTTCTAACATTTGACATTTTTTTACTTGAATCCACCTAAACTGATTCTAATCACAGTCCCAACCTTGACATTTAATTAAAAATGAACTTACAGTCAAACAGAGAAATGGGCTACATGTCATCACAACATGCCTACTATGTCTTGGAATACATAGAGGAAACATTTAAAAAAAAAAACATTTCTACACTTTACTTATTTCTATTTCTATTGTGCAGACAAATGGGATTCACTGTGATATTTCCATATACTCTTGAATTGATCATGTCCATCCACCCTTCTTCTATACCACCCTGTGCCTTTCCTCACCACACCCTTCCCAGTCCCTAGAAATCTCTCTTGTACTTTCAGGTAAAATTTTTATTTATTTATTTTCATTTTTGGTTTTCCACGTATGAGACAGAACATGCAATACTTGGCTTTTTTGTATCTGGCTTATTTCACTTAATATGATGTCCTCCAGTTCCATCTATTTTACTGCAAGTAGGATTTTATTCTTCTTTATGACTAATTAATACTCCCTTGTAGTATTAAGAATATATGATGCATATAGACAGTCTTTATCCATTCATGTGTTGGTGTGCACCTAGGCTGATTCCATATTCTTAACTTTTGTGAAAAGTGTGGTTAGAGGCTTTACTCTAGTATAATATTGGATTATTTCCTATTTCTCATTTGCGTATCTATGCTTCTCTTGGGATTTATTCTTTCACATGGTCTCATGATTGTAGTTACCTTTCCTCCACTTCTGGGTGTTGGATTCTCTTAGGTACCTTTTAGAAGGCTGCCTATTGGTCATGAATTCTCTTACTGTATGCTTATAGTAATGATCTTTATTTCTTCTTAGATTCTGAAGGACCTTGCTGGGTGATCTTGATTGTCAGTGATTTTCTTTCAGGACTTGATATACATAATTCCATGCCCCCTGGCCTTTTCCGTTGAAACCTCTGCAGTTAGTATAATGGGTTTGCCTTTAATTGTGCCTTGATGCTTCTCTCCTGAAGATTTTAAAATTCTTTCTTTGTCCTGTACTTTTGACAGTTTCCTGTAATATGTCATGGTGAGGTTCTTTTCTGGTCTTGTCTATTTAGGATTCTAAAGACCTTCTATACCTGGATGTCCCTGTCTTTCCCAAGATTTGGGAAATTTTCTGGAGCATTTCATTCAATAGGTTTTCTATGCCATTGACATTTATTTCTTCTCCTTTGGGTACACCCGTAATGACAACTTTTGATCTTTTAATGGTGTCCAGGGATCTTGAATGTTCTTTTCATTCTTCCTTAATTTTTTTCTTTATTTCTGCCTGAATATAATATTTGTAAAGACTTGCTTTTGAGCTCTGATATTCTTTCTTCTGCTTGATCTAGTCTGTTGTTGAGGTTTTAAAGTGAATTTTTCATACTGAGCTTTTCACTTCTAGTATTTCTGATGTTGCTTTTTTCCCCCCAAAAAAATCTCTCTTTCCTCGATGTCTTGCTCATATATTCAAATACTGCATTGTCTTTCTTCTTTCATATCATTGTTTGTATTCTCTTGGATTTCATTGGACTTTTTTTAAAAAAGTTGTTCTTTTGAATTCTCTATCAGGTATTTCATTCACTTCAGTGTCTATGAAATCTGATACTAGAGAGTCATGAACTTTAGAAGAAGTCATATTACCTTGTTTTACTGTGCTTCTGTACTTCTGTGTTGAAAATTATGCATCTGTTGGATGGATATCTCTACTCTTTGTGGGACAGCTGTCTTAGGAAGCAGCTTTCTGCTGACAATGTGTCTTGGCATAACAGCTTAGTGTACAATATTGACTTTATTTCCAGCCTGGCACCTCAGTGTAATCTCCCTGTAGCTTCCTTGGCTGAGACTAGCAACTTTGGGCAAAGTACATACTGTATCAGAGCTGAGAGACCTACTGTCTTTACAGGTCTTTGAGTAGGGACTCTAGCCATTTAGGCAGTTGTTGCATAAACAGTAGAGTATGTGGGGTACACCTTCTGTGAGTACTCTTATAATGGGTGTGGGGTCCTCTCTCAGGTGATAGGGGTTTCCACAGGCACTGTTAATATTGGATATTACTTGGAACTGTTTCTGTTACTGGCTGCTCCGGTTGTGGCAAATGGCTTGAAGCACTTGTCCTCTGATTATAATTGATATGGGTCTAGATGCTTCAAAGAGAAGGAAGAGGTAAGGGCTGGAATCACAGAACCCCCCGCCCCGAGAAGGAACATTTTAATATCTAACAAACCCTTCCATTCTGACACTCAAAACTTGAAAAAAGAGAATCTCCCTAACTTTGCACAGAGATAGCCAGTGCTCAAGTGCAGGAGTATAAATCTACTCACGTGGCACAAAGTTACAACTGATCAAATTTCTACAGCCCTACAGGAAGTATTTTCATAATGTAAAATGAAATCTAAGTCTTGGTAAACTCCCTTCTTCCTGCCTTCAGACCCTAGGGGTAACAGCTCTGCTGTTGCTACATCTTGGCTGTTGAAGCTCCTCCTAAACCTGTCCTTGCCTTTACAGGTAATCATAGTTAGTCACTGCATAAACTTCCACGAATTATACTAATTTGATTGTGCCATCTGTTTTCTGCTGGAATCCAGACTAATGCAAACATATTTTTAAAATAAATGTTGGTGCACCCTCACTGCAAAATACTATTCAGATGTTAAAAAAAAATGAAGTAGGCCCATATGGAATGATGGGATTATCTCTAAGACAATTTATCATTAGGTAAGAAGAGCAGAGTATAGAAAAAGTGTGTATTAGCATGGTCCCATTTACATAAAACAGAAACACATACATTTACTTATAAAGGTATCTGTATTTATTTATAAACCTTCATAGTACACAAATACACACACACATACACAAAGGGGAGGAGAAAAATGCTTATCAAAAAAGTTTGTTTTTCTATGAATGAGTGAAAATTGGGGGAAACTGTGAATGGAAGAATTTCACGTTTTTCTTATTTTTTTCTTGTAAGGCCCAAACTATTGCAAGAGAACACATGCGCTGCGTGTGATTTTTTTTTTTAAACCCATAGTACATGAGGGGTTTGGACAAAAGTTTCCACTTACTCTAGGTCACTGTATCAGCCAGCAATCAAATCTGGAAACAAACCAAACTGACAGGAAAAAAAAATTAATACAAGGAATTAAATGCTTATTAAATCATTGGAAGGCTGGATGAACGGACTCTGGATTGAGACTCCATGAACAGGGGTCTCAGAACAATGCAGGCCCACCTGTGGGGATCCCAGCATTGCCATAATCAGAAGTGAGGGGAAGCATGAGGCCTCCATGGGGTGGGAAAAGCACCATCCACAGAGCAAGAGCCAGGGAGTTGGAACCAGGACCTCCACTGTGACTGCCCCAGGTGCCTCTAGACATCCAGGGCGTTGTGTCCGGACATCGGAAGCCTCTGCGGCTGCCTCCTGCAGAACTGCCTCCCAGTGCCCCCCCCCCCCTCTCTGTGCAGCAGGAATGTGCAAAGGTAGGAAGAAAGTAGCTTCGTGTCTTCTTCCAAGCCTCACCTGCAAGCATCCCGCTGATAAAACCAAGTGTGTGTGCACCCAGACTCTAGCTGCAAGGAATCTTTCCTTTTTATTCCTTTCCTTTTTTTTTTATTTTTATTATTTTTTTATTTTTCAGGCTCTGCAGGAAAGGTGGGGTGGAATGAAGTTAGCTATCCAAAGCTTTGTTCAAGGGAGAGGGAAGAAGAATTCAAGACATTTCAGATACACACACAAAAAATAAAAATCTACTACCCACAGAGTCTCTCTGAAAATAATACTAAAGGATGTATTCTGAGAATTTTTAAAAAATGAGTCATAAGATAATGTGGGGCTTAAGAAGTGATTTTAAACTTAAGTCTTAATTGTCCTCCACAATCTCATTTGACCTGCGCCTTGATAACTTAGAGCAAGGGTCAGTCATTTTTCTTGTAAAGACCTAACAGTAAATATCAGGTCTCTGACCCAACTACTCAACTTTGCTGTTGGAGATCAAAACCCAATGACAATACAGAAACAAAGTGCCAGACTGTTCCAATAAAACTTGAACAAGTCGAGAGTTGGATTTAGTCCACAGGGTGTAGTTTGGGGACCCTCAACTAAGAGAATCAGCAGACATGAAAATGCTCCCTGAAAAGAGCATTTCTGGAACAGGAGGGGTAGTGGATTTGTTGGGAAATCGCGTGGAGTCGTCACGGTTGGCCAGCTCGCCTGCCCCAGCGTATCGATGGACGTGGCAAAAGGTGAGCCTCAAAAAGGAAACTGAGGCTGGTGAGGAAGGCTTTTGTTTTATAAGTTCATGACCCTCCACTCTCTCTCTCTCTCCCTCTAGAAAGTCAAAATAGAAGTTTTTTTGTTGTTGTTGTTGTTGCTGCTGCTGTTGTTTTTTAATACCAGGGATTGAACCCAGGGATGCTCAACCACTGAGCCACATCCCTATCCCTTTTTAATATTTTATTGGGTCTCGCTGAGTTGCTTAGGGCCTCACTAAGTTGCTGAGGCTGGCTTTGAACTCACAATCCTCCTTCCTGAACCTCTCAAGCTGCAGGGATTACAGGAGGGCACCACCACAGCTGCCTAAAATAGAAGAATTTTAATCAGGATTTTGTCATGATTAAATGTGGATTTTAGGAAAAAAAAAATGTGGGTCTGGGGATGGAACACAGGGCCCCGCGCATGCTAGATAAACACTACCACTGGGCTCCACCTCCAGCTGAGAACTGCATCTTGAAGAACACAGTGTCCTTCAACCTGCTCCCAGGAAAAATCCCCCATCCCTCCCCAGACCCTGCCAGGTAGGTCTGGACCCACAGAGACGCCTCACTGTTGCTTTGCTTTGTGTCTGTCCTTTTCCAGCTTTGGAATGTTAGTCATCAGGTTGGTTCTTTGGACTCAGCTTCTGCCCATGATCCTCTCTTCACCTTGGCACAGTCTGGCATTTGACCTGGGCTTCATGCTCTGGGCAGTAGTAAAACACCAGAATGATGCTTAGCTCGCCTGGACAACTTTGTGCTCATTTCTATTTTTGCCGAAAGACACCTCTAATGTGTGCTTTAATATGAGCACAAAGCTAACGGGGAATCTTTATTCTTTTATTTTTAAGGACATGTCTCTACAATACCAAAACGTAAGGTTTGCTATCGTGGATGTGGACGATTCTCCGGTAAGAATCTTACCCTCAATCTGTGGATAGTTACAACCATTTGCATAGTAATTGAGCAGCATTGTCTCCATGATTACATAATCAGTGTAGAATCAAGTAGAATTTCACTTTTTTTTAATAAACTGTAGTAGTAAAGTCCCACATAATGCTCTTATATGTCTTTTATTACCTTTTTTAAAATTAGCAAATACGTGTTCTTCCTGCTGCCCTAATCAATCTCAACGTTCTCCATCACTTGCCCTAGATTCTGCCCCAGAATCTTCTTCAGCAGAGATGCTCCAGGAAAACAATACCAATCAAATGGAATTAAGTTCATGTTGAAAAATAATTTCATGTCCATCTTGTGATAAATTATCGATCATTTTCTAAAACCAAACTGAATATATTTTAACTTGTTTTCCTCTTACTTTATCTTGTGCTTTCTTGTGGGTTTTCTTAAATATCACAAGAGATTCCAGGATTTCTTCCCTCCTATCTCTAGAGCCATCCCTACCTCACCCCACCCAAAATAATCAGCCTCATATTCTCAAACCAAATTTGTCTATATATAATATCTCTGCAAAATTATTTCTCCTACTATTTCTTAATTTTGTGTGCATGTGTGTGTGTGTGTGTGTGTGTGGTACCAGTGACTGAATTCAGGGGCACTCTGCCACTGAGATATATTCCCAGCCTTTTTTTTTTTAATTTTGACAAATGTTCTTGCTAAGTTTCCCAGGCTGACCTTGAGTTTGAGTTCCTCCTGCCTCAGCCTCCCAAATCTGGGATCACAGGCATGTGCCACTGCATCCAACACATTTGTTAACTTATAACAAGGAAAAATAACGGTGTTAACTTTCCATCACTATAACAAAATAACTGAGATAATAGACTTATAAAGAGAAAAGGTTTATTTTGGCTCACAGTTTTGGAGGTTCCAGTCCATGATTGATTGGCCCTGTTGCTTTGGTCTAATGGTAAAGCAACACATCGTGGTGGGAGAGCATGGTGAACAAAACTGTTCGCCTCATTGCCAGGAAGCAAAATAGAGAAAGGAAGAGTTTGCAGGGTCCCACACTCCCCTTCAAGGGGGATTGACCTTCAGATCTCCCACTCAACTCCATCTTTTAAAGGTTTCATCACCTCTCAATAACCCCACCCCAGGACCAAGTCTTCAACATGTGGGCCTTTGGGAACATTCAACATCCAAACTATAGTAATAACAATAACAAGTGGTCTATAGATACCTTAGATTGAATAAGCTTTAGGATGAAAAAAAATATGTTATTCACTGTTCAGCATTTTAAAGGTTGAAGTTGTAGACGTTGAACCTTTATAAACTTAATTTATTTGCTAAATATGACAAAGACAATTAGAAATGATAAAATGCATATGATATATAGCATGGTGCCTGGTATGTAATAGAAGTTCCACTTCTCCATTTCCTCTAAGCCTCATTAAAGTGTGACAGTACTTAATTACCCTTTCCGCTGAATCATACCCTGTGTACTCAGAAAGCACAGCTAGGATCATCATCTCTTTGTCTCTTTTTATATTCACAATCTTGTGCAACCATTGCTACAGTCATCTTTAAAACATTTTCATCACTCCAGAAAGAAACACTATACTCTTTATCAATCATGGCAATTCCCTCCCTCCGGGCACCACACCCATCCACAGGAGGCAACTACAAATCTACATACCATCTATAGATTTGCTCATTCATAGGAATGGAATCATAGGTGGTCTAGACTGGCTTCTTTCACATAGCATATTTCTAAGGTTCATCCATGTTATGAAATGTATTGGTACTACATAATTTTGCTGAATCATATAATAATAATCCACCATATGGATGACACCACCTTTTATTTATCCATTCATCCATTAGTGAACATTTAGGGGGTTTGTCCTTTTTGACTATTGTAGATAATACTGATATAAAAATTAGTGTACAAGTTCCTGTGTGAACCTGAGTTTTCATTTCTTTTGATATATATCTACAAGTGGAATTTTGAAGTCATGTGGTAACTCAGCACTTAACTTCTAAGGAATGGACAAACTAGTTTCCAAAGTAACTACACCATTTCATATTCCCATCATCACAATAAGAGTCCTAACTTCTCCACATCCTTGCCAACACATGTAATTATCAGACCTTTTTTTTTTACTGTAGCTCTTATCTTTTAAGGTGAAACAAAAAAAAAAAAAACCACACTATTTTATAGTAATTTATTTATTGGGTATCATTACTATGGTGGTGAAAATTATAATTTACTGTGTTTGTGTGTACATGTGTGTTTGTATGAGTGTTTGCGTTAGGGTGGGGAAAGAGATTTAATGCCAATTAAAAGGGTGCTATATTAAGGAGAGAGGTCCAATTCAGTTTATCCTGTGAATGGCTAATTTTCTTTGGTGTCCTCTACAAGAGGAAAAAGAAATCCATCCTACCACTTGGAAGTAATTTGGAATGGATTAAGACTATTGGGATTTCAGCCTATTTTCTTGCCTTTGGACTCCAAATCTTTCAAAAAGATGAGCAGTGAGGAGGGTGTAGGTATTAAAAGAAAGAAATGTGTGTTAAAATGCTAGACCCACACATCATTCCATGTCTTCAGTATGACTTACAAAGGTATTTTTATTCGTTCCTATTTTTGCAATGGGCTCCTCTGCAGTCTTTCACAAGGTCCTTGACAAGAGAGTTCATTCACTCGGTATCCATTCTGTTTTGGCCTCCGTGTCTCTCCTTTCTTCTAGAGCTCTTGGATGGAACAGCGTAGGAATACTGGAACATTCATTCTCCGTTGTCACATTTCTGGAGGCTTTGAGTATATGCTTGGAAATTTCTTGGCAGGAGAGTTTATAAACTGTCAGGCATGCCTGGTGTGGTGGCACATGCCTGTAATCCCAGGGATTCAGGAGGCCGAGGCAGGAGGATCGCAAGTTCGAGGCCAGCCACGGCAATTTAACAAGACCCTTGGTAACTTACTGAGACCCTGTCTCATAATAAAAAATAAAATGGCTGAAGATGTAGCTCAAATGGTAGCAATCCTTAGCAACAACAACCCAAAACAAAAGCATCAGGTGTCCCTGGGCTTTAAGACACACCTCCTGATAATTCAACAAGTGATATAGCTGGTACAGAGAGAGGACAACAATACTCCGACTTACCATTTCTTTTCTTTTCCAGGAGTTGGCTGATGCTTGTCACATTAAAGCAGTGCCCACATTTCAGATATTCAAGAAAATCCAGAAGGTATGTTTCCATGGAAGCCAGCAAGGTCAAATTAGATTATAGAACCATCAGAGCAAAAAGAAAGGGGGAAAAAAAGCCTACGATATCCTCGGTGGTGAAACAACACATTTATTTTTAACTCTTAGTAATTTTTATTTCTGAACTTACATATGGCCAAGAGGTTAAAAAATGCAAGATTTATTAAAAATATCCCCATTTAGACCATCTGAGGTGTTTGGACATAAGAATGCATAAGGATTATTCTACTATTACCCCTAGCCTGGGGCAGAACCATCAAGAAAGAATCTTCTGGAAAAGAACATGATGAAATTCTCACACCGAGGTAGACACGTCATTAACACCACATGGAAAAATATTAATAAATAGTTATCACAGGGCAAGATGAATATGACTGAATATGCAGATTCTAGATTCAGATTCCCAGGGATCAAATACCAGTTCTCCCACTGCCTACCTGTGGGACCTGGAACATGTACTTCATCTCCATATATCCAAGTTTCCCCATCTGTGAAAACAGGGATCATAATAAATTTTTCCCTCACAGGGTTGTTGTGAAAATTAATTCATTAATAGAATAAAGTGTCAGACCCATCCTGGCATCAAGTGCCCAACGTGTTATGTCAGCTGGTTAGCTGTTATCTTGAAGATATTCATGGAATAAAATATTTAAAATATTTGGCACGTGATCAAAGTAGCCATTTCATATATGGCTGGAGATATGAACAATGGTGCATATCTCACAAAATGTCATTTTGCCACACACTTAGGAGGCACAAAATATTCATTCCTTTTCACACAATTACCTCATCCCTGGGAACTTGGGCCAGAGAAACACTTCAAGAAAAAATAAACAGCTAAGTGTATAATAATTATAGCATGAAAAAAATAAACGGAAGCAACCTAAATGTCATTTTTAGTAGAGTGACTAAGTAAATTATGATACATCCACTCTCTGAAATAGTACTCAATCGAAATGTTGAAATAATATGTGTAAACAAGTTTATTCTGAAACTTTATGAAGATTTGTATCTGCAGTGTTATGAATAAAAGCATTTGACATGTAACTGTAGAATTTTATTTTCCGTTATTATTTGTTATATACTTGCTGCACTATAATTGTTGCAATGAATTTAACTTATTTTTTTGAAAATAACATTACATGTTCCCTTCCCTTGTGTTTTTACTTGAAAATTAAAGCTATTTAGTATATCTTCTCCCAACATGTACTGCCTCCATGTCAAGTTTCCTGTGCATCATATTTTATTATTTTCTCCACTTCCATCTCAGAAATAAGAATGTGTCCTTCTTTCAAAAATTGATTCCATCCAAGTATTTGGATTGCATTCCCTCCCTTCTGTTCCAGGACTCTATCCTTCAGTTACCCTATTTCAAAGTTGGAGTTTGGACTTGTGTTTGTGCCATCTGGCCTCCATTTTCCATATCTATCAGCAGATCTCTGATTTTCTTTCAAGGAGCAATGTCCTTTTCCATCCTGGCCCAGGTGCTCCCTGGGGACTTCATCTCTAGGTTTAGACCATTTCCATCAGGAATGGGCCCTGGGTTCTAGTCAAGCCAATCAAAACAAGACAAACCAGAGCTGATTCCAGGACCTATGCTCGAACAGTAGGTCAAAGTCTCCCCCTTGATATCACTGGGGTTGAATTTGGGAAGAGAAGGAACTGAAACTATGACAACTAGCTTGTTACCATAAGGAAATCTGAAAAGGAAGCCACCATAGAGGAAAGCAGCGGAGTCACTCATGCCAACAGATGCTCATGGCATTAACTGAACACTGCATTTGTCCATGCCTGAAGTCTGAGATACCCCATAGGGTATCTGCAGATAGAGGAACATTGAGTTGGATTTTCTGTCACTTGCAACCAAAAAAATTCTCATGTATATATTTGATGTTCTCTTAAACTGGTCTCCTTCATTTCCTGTTCTAATTCTTGAAAGAGTAGAATACATTTAATATTTCCATTTTTTATTTTCCACACATTCCCTCATCTATCATTCCTTAATGTCACCATCTCTTTCCATACATCTAATTGAAATAGCCATTCCTCCATCCTTATATTTCTGGGTTACACAAAAGCACAGTTAACGAACCAGCTGGAATATTCTGGAAATGTCTTTCCTCTTTGGGCTTCTATCTCTGAATCTTTCCCCAAGCTCTCGTCTGGCTTGTCTCCTCTGGATTCCAACAAAAGTGCTTCTCAAAGTTCTAACCTCTTCTCCTCCTACCTTCTCCACTTTAGCAATTGCATCCCTACTTCTAGTTCAAGCCATAAATACCTTTTACTGAGACAAATGCAACAGCCCTTTTACTCCCAAGCTGTAACTCTATAACTTTGTTCTCTTCTCCACATAAACTCCTGCCCAGCTCCATGTATATCATTTCCTTATTTAAAATGTGCTGTCTTCCCCCCTCTGTTGCCTCCAGAATCACCACTAAACCCTTGTGCTCAAGTCTGGCATTTAGATATCTCCGTAAGTCTTTGACTCAAGCCACTGTTCCCTGCCCTTTTCTATTTGACTCAGATCTCAACTCCAAGCACTTGGAGTCGTTCAGATCTGATTTGAAAGCCTGGTGTCTAGAAGAACCTTGGGTGGAGAGAAAATGTTCTATGTGAGACAAATGAGTAAGCAGATGAATGCATGAGTGAATGTTTGTTTTTTGCCTACATCTCACTCTGGCTCTGCCTTCCTTCCTGGTCTTGTTCCCATCTAATTCAGTGCAAGTTTCCGTCTGGCTCAGTACAGTGCTCTGTTTTCACTCCTTCTGTAGATGTTATTGCTTGGTGGCTGCTGCCCCTCAATAGATTTTATTCCCATTTTATGATGATACAAGACTCTCAGTTCCCAACTTACTCTGTATCTAGACTGTTGAGCAGATATTAGCCATTCTTCTGAGCAAAGGCTTGGCCCTATTTGGTCTCAGCTCTGTATGGAGGTTGGAAAGCCCCCTCTAAGGATGGGATACTCTTAAAAACAAGTATATCTTAAAAGGTCTCTAAAGGGTACAGACGGATCTCTTGAATTAATGGAACAAAATGCCGGCACTCCCAGATCATGAATGTTAGTGAACTTTCTGTTATAATAACAAATACCTGAGATAATCAACTCAAGTTTATTTTGGCTCATGGTTTTGGAGATTTCAGTTCCTGTAACTCATAGCTTTTGAGATACATGGTGGTAGGGAGCACATGGCAGAGAATAGTCACTCATATCATGGCTGGAAAGCAAAAAAGATAAAAGGAAAGGGGCCAGAGTCCCCCAGTCCCTTTCAAGGACATACCCCCTATGACCTGAAGACCTTCCATCCTGTCCCTGAAGGCTACAAGCCCTCCTGACAGTGCCACCATTTACTGCATAGACCTTTGGAGATACTTAAGATTCAAAATATAGCACCAAGATCTCAAAATTTTTATTTACTTGCTGGATAACTACTAGAAAATACCATTAGCTGAACTTGCAATGTACAAATGAGTCCACTTCTAAATTTTGTTTGCACCTGTAATCGTGTCTCCTGATGTACTCATACCTGGATCAATTTAGATATCATTTTTAAAACTCCAGTAAAAATTGCAATAATGAAACTGTTTGACAAAAAAAAAATGTTCATCTTCTATGCAAAAGACAAGAGTCATAAAAAGGGAGGAAAGATCCTAAAGAGATATCCCTGCGTCTGAGCAGCACTGTAGGTTCTGCAGATCCTCACTTCTACTGTTGCATCAAGAGCTTCAGTTAAACCTTGACACCGCTGAAGCCCTCCCCCAGTTCTACCTCATAGTGCTCTGAAAAGAAAGCCCCTAGAACCAGAGAAGATTTGGGGTGGCCAGGTAAAAAAGATTCATTCATGCGAATTTCCTTTCCCTTGCAATAGAACTGACTAGGAAATCTTTCATTGACATCCACTATCTTCCTGGGGGTAGAGAAAAATTAAATTCACTTCTTTGGAACCAACTCCATAAATGTGTTTCATCCTTCATCTGGGACAGCACAACTGGAAATGGATTTATTGAAGCAATTACGTTCTATTTATCTGTTTTTTTTTTAAACCCCTAGAGTGGAGTTTCTATTAAGGACTGTTACTAGAAATGTCCTCACATTTCTGGTAAAATATCTGGCAAAGAGCCACTGTCCATTATACACTTTCAAATGTGCATGGCATAAAAGCCTTATGATAATTCCTCCTAGAGCACAGAGTTAGGAGATTATTCACCTCCCTTGGAAATATGATCCACTTCCTTTCATTAGAACAAAAAAGTCTTTGCATTTCTCTTTTGCCATTATTTCCAAGGATCTCAGGATCCTCTCTTCTGATTGAATTCAGTAGCCTCCCTGTCCTTCAGTTTCCTGATATTCCTAGACATTCCCACATCACATCATCCTTTATGTTTTCATTATTTTATTTTGCCCTGATTCATGTTCATTTCAATTATTTTTAAAGTATATAAATCAAAAGACAAAACTTCAAAAAATGAAAACAAATGAAGCCATTTGCAATGACCCATGGTGGTTTATGGGCATTTCTTGGTTGCTGGAAATGTTCACATAGAGGTTAGAAGAGCAGCTGGGATACAACACGAGCCACACCATTTTAGGAGAAAACCACAACAAATTTCGGGTAATCAAAAAGGCTTTTCCCTTTCTGCTGTACTCCTTAATGTTTTTATCTAGAACATCACACCATGTTCTAAGAAGATACATTGTGGTAAATAAGTTCATTCTGCTCTACTTTTCCAGATGGGGCACCTTGGCTGGTTCTTTTAACACAGTATTCTATTTTTACAGTAGTCCCCCTTTATGTGATAGTGGGGGCAGGGCGGGGGATGTGCTTGCTCCATGAATATGTCTTACTATATAACCATCCCTACACAACCAGTCATGGCAATAGGAAATTCAAGACCACAACAGTCAGTCCAGGTGCACATCATCAATAATGATGTTTTGTGAAACAAGTTGACAAGCCAGAGTGGCATGGTGCATCATTTCAAAGTCATTGATCACGAATACCACACTTGGAGAGCCACACTCCT